CTCAGTAATTTTAGAATTTCAGTATAAACTTTCTACAAAGTTTTTTTTTTTTATAATGGAAATGCTGACACATATGATAACAGACACCAATGCAAGGGTCTTAATTATATAATCTTGCATGGATTGTACATCATAGATGTATATTAGGTTTGATTTTCAGTGCTAATTTTGCCAGACTCTGCCTCTGAGCTGGGAAGAAAACAGTAAAGCTGATCAGTCTGAACATTTCTCTGTTGATGGAAAAGCCTCTTGATTATTTTTTCTTTTCCTGGAAAGATTAATTATGTTTTTCAAATATGATTTCATTTAGATCTTTTTATGGTTTACATGTCTGAATACTAATAGTAATCTGATATTTGTAGAGAGCTGAGTTTGAGACTAAAAGTCAGTTTTTAGTCAGTAAAGGAATATGACTAAATAGCCTCCAAGCAATGTCTAAAATGGTATTTAGACTCAAAATAACCAAATGACTTTAAGATTTCAAAATTAATTATAACAGATTTTTTTTAAAACTGATATCATCAGGTCCCTTTAAGCTAGTAGAAGTATTAAAACCTAATGTCCTATGATATTTTATTAATGTTAATGTAGATAATAAGAATAGAGCAATTTTGACGTACTGTATGTCTGTGACATACTAAGAAACTTTTTGTTGAAAGTACATTGGCTATACAGATTGGACGCAGAGGAAACCAAATAAGAACACACTGTTTAGATATTTAGAGTGTCTACACATAATGGCACATTGGTTTCAATGTTGGGCTATGGATAATTTTGTCTTGTCTCTAAGGATGATTTGGTGTTAGGGTTAAGTCATTTTACTGCTCAGAGTCTGACCATTATGAGGGTTTAAAGCACATCATTAGTGTAGTGACTATGAAAACATTTTAAAAGATGTTTCCTTTGGGAACATTTAGAGGTGAACAAAGATCAAAGTACTTGGAAAATGTATCTGGTTAAGTAATGATAGATGTGATTCACTTAGTAATAATGAGAAATACTTTTCCATTTGTAAATTCCTTGGTGCCATTTGCTGCTGGAAAGAAATTCCATGGAGGAACAATATGCAATTGTTATGATCGTAGGAGAGGATGTTAGATAGTAGAGATGATTAGGGGTGATGGATTGACTACACTCAGTAAGACGCAGTGACGTCATGTTGGTGGCCCATAGACTACATAGCATTTTTTTTCTCCAGAATTTAAAAACGCATTGTTTTTTTATCAACAACGTGTAGAAATTTGAACTCTGTATTTCTCTTTACTTATTCAACAATGTAGATTTCATTTCTGTTTCTGTACTGTATTATTTTATGGGTATGGATGACCTTGCCCAAGGGTCTGTCTGTGTATCACATTTACACAGTGTCCATGGAGGCCAGAGGAGGGTGTCAGACCCTGGAACTGGATCTACAGTTGTGAACCACCATGTGGGTAGGTACTGGGAATCAAAATGGGTTCTTTAAGGAGCAGACAGGGCTCATAACCACTGGGCTATCCCTCCAGCCTCACACTTGTAGATTTTTTTTTTAAATTGGCATTTGTTTTTCAGAAAGACCTGAAGGAGGAGGCGCTCTGCAGTTTTGAGCCCTTCCACATGATCTGTAAAAAGCCAACATTCGACTAAATGAATAAATAATTGGATAGATAAACAAGGGTATTTATTCGCCCAGAAGATCATATGAGCAATGCTATCTGATGATGAGTTGAGAAATAACTAGCTATTTCCCTTTTACATATTAAAATGAGTAATTACAAGAGTATACTAAAACACTACTATCCTTGGAAACATAAAGATTACAAGGAGGAGCTAGGGACATTACTTTATAACTGTGGTATAAAGTCATGTTTTAAGGCTCAGTTCATTTTGCTAAAGGTTCTAAAGCATTAGAACCCCCCCTCCTGGTTTTGTTACTGTTTGGCTTTAGCTATCCATAATTCTCTTTTCAGTTCATTCTGACATTCTTATGGCAGAGGTAGAAAAAGATCCTGGTGGAGAGACATAATTAAGATAATACTGGGAAACTGGAATACTAATTGTAGCTCTTACCTGGTCTCAAGGAAAGGAGTATGAGGAAAGGTTTTAAAAGATTTGAGTATGAATAACACTTAACTGTATATAAAGACATCAGGTATGAAATACTTTGTTTAAATATGCCCCAAATGATTTACTACTATTTTAGTAGATTATAATCCATAATATAGGATCAATGTTATTAGCCACACATTAATGTTAAATTCATGTAATCTATTTAAAAGGTATTTTAAAGAACTTCTAAATCTCTCTTCTTTGGAGGAAAATTGGACATTCAAAAGTCATGGCACCTCTCCATTATGCATTTTCAGTGTAAAGACACACGACACATAATTCTAAATGTGAATTAATTTCCCTGTCTAGATAAACATTATTCAATCACTCTTGAACTCCCAGAAGATAACTTTTCAAGTATATTCAACAAAAAAAAAAATGAGTACCTTGAAACAAAATAAAAAATCTATCAATGAAACAATTATTATTCAGTAAAATAGAATAATATTGCAATACTTATGGCTTAGCTATACAATTAGAATATATGAAAGACTATTTACCATTTTATTCCTATAGCAACAGGGATATATTTTATGACTGGATTCTGGCATATAGGTCCCAATAATGCCAGTATCTGTCTCAATTGTAAAATGAGTGCATTGGTACATTATGTTTCATAGTTTTTTTATTGCTTTATACTTTGGTTTATATACTTGCTTAAAAATACTTGAACCTTAATAACAACCTCAAAAATGTGTGGTAAGCTTTCTTTAGATGTGTACATAACCACCATGGGAATCAAAGAGAATTAAATGTAGAAGAAGAAAAGAAAAAAAAAATGGCAAGCTCCCTTGGGAGAGGGGTGCTCTATCCAGATGCTGAGACACAGGCAGGCTCCTTCAGGGTAGCTGAACTGGAGACTGAATGCACAGAGCCCAGGAATCCATTTGCATTTCGAAATTCGCACAAATAAGGACGGCATGTGGCTAGCAGAAGGTGACTGTAACAGAGAAGGCGTTGATAGGAACTCTGTTTGCAAGACAATATTTTAAAAACAGGAATGTCTGAGCTAGACATCTGTAAAGGAGTGTGTATTTCAATCTCGTAGTCAACCAACAGTGAGATGACACACCAGCTCTCCAAAATCAAGAGAAAAATGCAATACTCTGTATTCCTTTGCTTGGTCTTGCTCTTCCACCAGGATATGCAAGTCTTAATCCCATTCTCATTTCAAATGCAGATTGTCAGATATTCTAATGATTGTTGTTGACTTGTAATTTTATTTACTCAATGGAGGGGTCCTCCAGTTTCATTTTGCTCTTTAATTTTTCACCTTCTGGATTGAAAATTTCAAATTGTATAACTTTAGTTCCCTATTATTAAGGAAATTCAGGAATGTTGTTATACATTGGCATGGCAGTAAGATACAGGAAGGGAAACCCCATTTAGCACTTACAGTGAATGAAGTGCTCATTCCATAGTGCTAAATGAGAAAAAAATCAATGTTCAAAAGTGTTGTTACATATATTGAATTTCTAACTACACGGGAAATAAAAGAGCAGAAGGAAGTAGATGAAAAGTCTAGTGGTATTAGCAGTGGGGGCTTACTTAAGTGTTCATTTCATTTTTAAGTTTTTACATTTCAGTCTTTTTATGATGAGCACACATCATTTTTATTCCTATGTAATAGTTATCATTCGAGTATGACAGAACATTGCGGTTGTGCAATCTCACTATGACGTCGTTTTGCAAGTGCACAACTAGGGGCAAATCAAGCATTTCTTCTTTAGGATTTATCACTGGAGTGAATGGATTGGCAATTACGTGCTCCAGCTCATTTCCTTTCCTCCATTAACCACATCTCTTCCAAAGACCCAGCTTCAGGTGCTACCATGTAACTCAGAAAGAAGAAACCAGAAACCGGGAATAACAGAGGAAGGTAGCTTCCCGAAAGAACCGGCTTCGACTTCACCTTCATGCAGACATTTTCAAAGCACCAGAAAACATCCTTTTTTTTTTTTTTGCTTTTTGCCTTCCTAGATGGCTTAAGACTGAAAGATAACTTTCTACCCACTGTTTGAGACGGTTTTACAGGCGCGCCGGGTCACAGCTTATTAAGAGATACCAGCTCTTTCCCCCAGGCAACTGCTAGAAGCGCTGATCCCAAGGCCCCAGAGAGAATGGGGAGTGTGGGAAGTGCGCGGGGCGGGAGCAGCCCTTCTCCCCCTCCGCCCCTCCCTCCCTGAGCCGGAGCCGCAGAGACTGAGTTCAGTCCTGGGCAAAAGGCAGAATGACGATTTTTTTTTTTTTTTTTTTTTCACTGAATGGACTGCTTTTCACTCTGAGGCATTATGCCTCAGAACAAGATAGGGGCGCACTTAGGAGCAATCGAGGGTCACCGCAATCAGGGTCAGGGCGAGGAAGCCATGGTGGAGGGAGACCCAGCACTCTCAGAGGTCGCATTTTGTGAGTTAGTCCCCTGACTGTGCCTCGGCTTCAGTCACGTCCTCTGTCCTCTTTGCTCCCCTTAACTAGTCTGAGAGGACCGAGCCCAAGCAGAGCCTTCGGAACCCAGAGACAGTTGAACCGAGGCCGGGGTCCGGGTCTCTGTTTGACGTGGGCTCACCCGCCCTGGCTACACACAGGGGCGCCCCTGCTGGAGATGGCAACGGGGCAGCGAGGAGTCTTGCGAGAGAGAAAAGGTTCTGCTTTATTACTTCTGCATTTGAAAGGAGACGGGAGGAGAGCACAGAGCACAGAGAAGCTTACAAAGGTCTTGGAGGAGAGGACCAGTGTCTCGGGGCTCCACGCGAGAAGCTCTAGCTTCTAGGCTCTAGGACTCCCCGTTGGCCCAGCTGGACCCCTTTGTGCTTGATCCCCAATATAGTCACCGCAGAGCTGCCACGAGCGGGGGGGTTTTACCATCTCAAGCTCAGGCTCAGAAGGCCAGCGGTCCCCCCCCCCCCCCGCTTTTGAGATGTCCCTCCCCCTCGCCAAGCAAGGGGGAGGGTCTTTTCGACCCGCTCTGCCCTTCCCCCGCTCAGCGGGCCTCCTTTTCTTCGTTGCTCTGCAGCAGCTCCGTCATGAAGGAAATGTACACGATGGCCAAGCGGAGGGTCTCGATCCTGGACAGCCTCTTCTCGTAAGCGAAGGTGGGCACCTTCCTGCGCAGCTGGTCGAAGGCCTCGTTCAGGTTGAACATCCTCTTCCTCTCGCGGATGTTGGCGGCCTGCCGCTGGGCGTAAGTGATGACTCTCTTCCTTTTGGGGCGTCCCAGCAAGGATGCTACTCGGCCGCGCCCCTCGCCGTCCTCTTCCTCCTCCTCGGGGTCCTCGTAGTCCACTTCTCCCCCCTCTACTTCCTGGTCTCTTTCCTCAAACCGCGACAGCCTCCTGGGTCTTCCCTCTCCGAATCCCAGGGTTCGGTCCCCAAAGGGGACCCCGGGTGGGAAGTCGCAGAGAAGAGGGTGTCTGGGAGAGGCCAGAGAGAGGTCAACGAAGTTCAGCACGGTAGCATCCAGGCAGCTCTCTGGATAGGTGGCCATCGCTCAGCGTCTGTCTCATCGCTTTTCTTGCGCGAAGGACATAGCTGCGGAAGCGGCTCCTCAGTTGCCTTCACTCTTTTGAGGCGTCGTCACCAAACGCTAGGATACATTAGCATTTATAACCAAGCCGGAAGGATGATCCGCAGCGAGAGGGAAGGCTAAAGCAATGTCCCTCTTCTGTAAACTGATAGAAAGTGACAAGCTTGCGCACTTGTGGGAGGCTCTAGGCGACAGGCTTTTGGTTTGTTAAGTTTTTCCCCTTGCTGCACCACGCGGGGCAGCTCCTCCTTGGCAGCAACCTCCAGTTCTTACCTGCTGTGCTTTGGTAGTAGCTGTGGTGGCGGGGGTCTCTGGTCTTACCCCTGTATCCAACTAACGCTTTCCTGGTTCCTTATTCCATGTAGGTCTTTAATTTCGATCTGGATCATCAAAGCCAAAAATCTTTCCACCGCAGTGGCTTCTCCTTGGCTTCAGGGTGGGAGTCCTGAATCTTGCGGCCATTTGCCAATGGATGTGAAACAAGTGCATGCGCTTTTAATGATGTCCAGAAGAGGGGCCCTTCCTGCCAGGGGTCGAGGGCAACTGTTTGTCTGGTATCCCAGTGCAGCGGCTGCTGAAAGGAAAGACCTTCCATTAGCTTAAGTAAGCATGGCTACCGGGGGGCCAATCGCATTCCCCAGGGTCTCTGTTGGAACCCGCGATTTTTTCTCCTTCTAGGACATCGCAAACAACTCACTGCCTGGTTACAGATCCTGACTTCTGAAGCCGGCTTGGACACAATCAGACTCACAATTGAAAGAACTCGACTTTACTCTCTCTGATCTTACCCTCTACCGTGGAGGGTTGCATTTGAGGGAAAACGTTACAGTGATAATGAAATTAAAAATTATAAAAAAAAAATGGAGACTCGGAACATTTATTGCATAAGCTCTTTACGGTGTAGTCACCCCGTAGGGGACAAAGCAACACCCTTCCTGTCGACCCCACTAGCCTCCTTTGGAAAAAAAAAAATGCTCTTTAGCTTTAAATTGCCAATCAAGTGTTCGTTCACTAACAAAGAAAAATCCCGACACTTTGATCTACCCCAGTTTCGTTTGTATGCCGCAGTCAACTTTAAGAGGGAGATACCTTACTGAATTACGCTTCGGGGAAATTTAGTAGCTGTCCACAGAAATAGAAGAGACCCTAAAATTGGTATACTAAGAAATGTCACTGATTTTTGTATGTTCCAAATTTTCCCACAAAAAGTCCATTTTTCATCTTTTTGGTTTACTGATGGCTATGGTTTATTACCCATAGTAAAGATCTGTAAATATACCCCAGAGACAAACAACAAACGTTGAAAAATAGTTTCTAGAGTAGGCCAGAAGAAATAGAAGAACACACGTAAAGGAAGATTTTCTGATTTCAGGGAGAATTAGGAAAGACATCAGTTCCCTTTAAAAAGTAAGCTTAGTCGGTACATTGGACAGCTCCCAACAGCGCCTTCTCCTACAAGCTCAGTTCTCTTCCCTCTACCTCACCTCCCACTGTGTAAGCAAGGATTTCTAGTGTGCATAGCAGGGTGAGAATAGAAGACAATAATATTAAAGAAAAAAATATCTTGCATTTTCAATACTAGGAAGCAAATAAATGCCTAAAGAGATAACGTTTTTATTGTTGTTTAAATGCTAGACAGTACACACATACACAGAATTACTACATGGTGCTCCATCAGAGTTCCCAAGTTTTATGGCCTTAAGTCAAAATAACTTGTATTTTTTTTATGATGCAGTATAATCTTGATTTTTTTTTTTTTTGCTTTGATTTCCAGATCCAGGCTCCTCTTCAAGGTGTCTTTCTTTAATAGATTTTCCTCTACCCTTTTTTGTGCTTACTCTTAATTTCTTTAGTGATATTGGGATAAATCTGGTAAGAATTGTAAGTTTGTCCTGAGATGTGCTAATCAGAAAAGGATTTTTGTGGGTTTTTTTGTTGTTGTTGTTGTGATTACCTATTTGGTTTATTCCTACAAAAAAATGACTGGAAAGGAAAAAAATCAAGCAAAGTGTTTATCTCAGTTGGTGGAGAGCTTCTCTAGTATGTAGGGAGCTCTGGGCTCCATCCCAGGATCAGATAAACTGATCTGATGCTGTGAAACTATAATCCTAGCATACAAGAGGCAGAAGCAGGAGGGTTAGAAGTTCAAGATCATCCTCAGCTACATAGTGAGTTGGATGCCAGTTAGGGATACATGAGACACAGAAGCAGGAGCAGGAGGAGCAGGAGGAGCAAGAGGAGGTAGAAGAAGAGAAAGAGGAAGAGGAGGAGGAGAAGAAGGAGGGGAGGAGAATGAGGACAAGGACAAGAAGGAAGCATAGAAATATCAACAATGGTTAAGAAACCTGTAAATGAGAGAAATGAATTTTGTATTGACAACTATTTTCTTCTGATCCCTGTTTTGTTTAAACATGTCATTAAATATTTGTGCAAAATTTGTGGTTGATCCTTTATCGTCTATGAGTTTTTTAACACTAAGCATATATGAACCAATTAAGAATCAGTTCCATAGCAAAAACAGACTACACAGTGAAAGAAAACACAATAGAAAATTTAATTTAAATTTGGTGAAACAGAGATCCAGAGCTGTGATGCAACTCGAAAGAGACATTTTTTTTTTGCTTGTTTTTGCACTAAATCTTTTTAGTCAAGGAAATGAATAATTCAAAAATCATCAAACATCCAACAATGGATTGAACGTTTGTATTAAAAGGCTGAAAATTTATAAAGCCAAGTCTTAATAAATACATATTTAAAGCAACAGTTAAAATATACTTTTTTTAATTTTATCAAAACAATCTCAAGTTAAACCCTTGGTTTGTGACACAATAATTTATCTTGTGAGGCTCTAATCTTACTGCCAATATTAGTGCCCAACATATTAGAAATCTATTATAATGACTATTTTTTATCTACAACTATAAAGTATACAAATAAACAAAATGCAGTTTTCCTACTTACATTGAAATACTTTTAAAGACTTTGTGGCTACCAAACCAACAGTGAATCTGCACAGTAGATTGAAATAGTAAAAATGTAAGTGATTTAAAAATAGTTCATCTCACAGGAAAAAAATAATTCTCTTTTATGTCTAGACTTCAAAATAAGTTAAAAATTAAATGAAAAGAAACCTGCTATTGCTGAAAGGAGTCTAAATGGATGGGGTTGAGTTCTAAGGGGGTGGAGCTTAAGTTTTGGAAATCTATAAGAATTTCCAGAAACTTTACTCAGAATCCTTCAGAAGTCAACATGAAAATGAGTCAGTCTTGTTTGTTAGTATACCTTATTTCTATTGAGCCTCTCCAGGAAACATTTTATTAATAATATTTTTTGTAAATTCAGAATCAAAGCAAAATTCAAGAGACCAAGCTAACTTGAACAATAGTTCTCAAGGGGTATAGAGGGTAAGAAAAAAAGTGTAGATTAAAAAAAAATTTTCAAAAGCTAAGGAAAATACAGAGTTCTTTCAAACTGCTAAAAATTCGCTTTGCCCCTTTTTCTATTCCTTCCCTTATATTCTCAAGCTGAAGCAAGTGATAAATGGTCAAATGACAATGAGTATGACAAAGGTAAACATTTGTTATGATCCCAGGGAGAATGTCCTAAAAGCTGTTCCTCCTGGCTGTCATACAGAACGGTTTTGTGCCCTCCTTGAACTCAATTTCAAATACATATTGCTGTGGCCATGACTCATTTATAGATGGACATGTATAGATGTTTACGTATTTTTTCTAGTTATATTTTTCTGTAAGCTTGTTTGGAAGTTTATAACACATGCCTTAGAATGAATGAATTATACATGTGTATGTTAATTAATTTTTAGGAAGTGAACATACTCATGAAAACATACTTACTTACTGAAGTTCGAGACAGTGTAAGAGAGAGTCCCAAACAGTACAGTTGGTTGGGACTATTTTACCAAACAAAGGCACCTGTGTTGGAAGTACTCAAAGCGCACAGAACATCACAAACATGCTGAAAATCTTCTCCTGCAATCTTGTGCCTGAATCTAACCACTAGTGACTCATCTGAATATGAGTGTTTGTCTTCTGAGGTTAACTTAGCTCCAGGTAAGATGCTGAGCAGAGAGCAGACTGACTTCCTATTAACTTCACTGGAATCTTGTGTTTTGTGGCATCCAGACCTGTGTTTTTTTCCTCCCTGTGAGCTTGATGATCAGCTAGGAGGCCCGTGGCAGCTACTGCCATAGGCCATTTGTTGTGAGCACCTTGACAAAACACTCAGAAAAAAGAATCTCCCAAGCAGACAAGGATCTTTGTTCTCCAAAGTTTCAGATGAGAAGCCTTGGGTGATTGGATTGCTGGGATCAGGTGTACATCATTTGGTCTTCTCCACCTGTGGCTGAGACTCACTGGGCTGGGATTGTTGGTCTCCTGTGTAAATCGTGACTAAATTAGCTTCCCACAAAGACACTCTTTTTCTGTTTTTTTTTTTAATTAACTTTTTATTTATTACAATTTATTCACTTTGTATCCCAGCTGTAGCCCCCTCCCCCATCCCTTTTCAATCCCAACCTCCCTTCTTCTTTCCTTTCAGTGCCCCTCCCCCATTCCACTGATAGGGGAGGTTCTACTCCCTTTCCATCTGACCCCAGCCTATCAGGTCTCATCAGGATTGGCTTCATTGTCTTCCTTTGTGGCCTGACAAGGCTGCGCCCCCCCTCCCCCATCAGGGGGAGGTGATCAAAGAACCAGCCACTGAGTTCATGTCAGAGAGAGTCCCTGTCCCCATTACTAGAGAACCCACTTGGACCCTGAGCTGCCATGGACTTCAACCGTGCAGGGGTTCTAGGTTATCTCCTTGCATGGTCCTTAGTGAGAGTATCAGTCTCAGAACAGATCCCTGGGCTCAGATATTTTTGTTCTGTTGCTCTCATTGTGGAGCTCCTGTCCCTTCCAGGCCTTTCTATCTCCCCCTTCTTTCATAAGATTCCCTGCACT